CTTCTTTTTAAGCTGAAGATCTGGAAATCCCACAAATAAAACAAGAAAATCTGGAGTTAAAGCAGAAAATTTTTATTGTCATTATTCGTTTAAGCCAAGTTACTGGGCTAAATTCATGCCAGGAAGAAGGCAAGCTAAATTCAGTAATGAAACCTATACCTAGCTTTGTTTTTGTTAATATGAACTGCAGCATAGGCAAAGATTTCTGATTTTTCTTTACATTCCTTTTTTAACCTTTAGCATTTATTTGGATTTCTCTAAAAGCCTCTTTTCACCTATGAACTGTACATTACTTAGAGGTTCATAAGGGGCTTTGAGTGTAAAGTTTTTGTACGTTGAAATCAGCCTGAAGAAGAGGTCTCAGAGGCTAACAGCACTGAACGCTACCAAGTAGAAAGATGTAGTTCTGTGGTGTTTGTATCACATGTGCTTAGCTTTGGGGATGGTTTTCATGTCACGTTTCTGAGGGCGATGGACTGGCAAACAGTTACTCAGGTGGTGCAGCAGGCAGATTTTGCGCTCTGTCCTCTAAGACAGTGGTAGAAGAAAATGGTCTTGAATATTCCTTTTTTCTTTCCTACCACTGTGATGACTTACTTGAAAGTATCTGATACCACTGGCATCATGGGAAGAATAATCTGGAGTACATTTTGCCAGGTTAGGAGACTGACTTTCTTTAAAAAGACTGCATGAAAACTTATGAGGCTGTGGGGTAGCACATGGTGAAGCTATTAATACAAGAAGGGGACAGAATTCATATTATATGTGCAAACTGAGCTCTCCTGGCTTCAGGTACAGTACATTACATTCTGTATGTTATTTTATCACTGTAGCGGTTCTCAGCCTGACCATTGCTAAAATGCTTTTAATGTGCAATCTGTGCTGCATCGCTAGAATACCATTGGGTTACCCAATCAATTTAGCAAATAAGAGATGGATGGGGGGAGACTTTGGCTTCTAACATTTGTTTAAAAAAAAATTTAAAAAAAAATCACATGGAGAACTTATTTACTATTGAATCCAAGTGATCTTTTACACTGGTCAAAAAGAGAAAATTCTTGTAACAGAAAGTTTGTTTTGGAGTTAGCAGTTCAAAGGGTATTCTCAGAGCTAATAAGGCCATTATTTGCCTCTTTTTTTTTCCCCCCTGAAAAATCCCTAAATGCTTTTTGTAGGTAATGATATGTTTTACTATGGATAAAGTAAAATGCATTAAGCTACTGTTCAAGTAACACTCCTTTGATATGAAATTAATTCACACTGATACATAAAGAAAATGGACTGTACTCTCAAGCTTTCCAGAAATATTGCAGCTAGCAGTGGAGCAAGAATAGAAATTAAATTATAGGACCTGCATAAAGGCACAAGTCTGGGTAGCATGAAAACTTGCCCTCTTTGATCTTGGCCAATATAAACTGTTTTGATAATTACTGTGGAGATCCCACTGAATAATGATAAAAAAAACTCCTACTATTAAACTATATACGTGATTACTATTTAAAGGGGGAATGGAAGGGTGGGGAAATAAGATTGTTTCAAAAATATGTGAAGACTCTTTATAAGCCTTGAGTACCAGTCAATAAAATGGGTTTGGATAGAAACGTTTAAAAAAAAATTAATTTGACAGATCTGTAGAAGGTTTGTCCTCTAATGTAAATCATAATAACTACATAAGAGCTCTCAGGGATGATTCATATTTCCATTGGCATATAGGCTAGCCCTGTGCCTTAAAGGTAACACCTCTTCTAACTGGATCTAAATGTTAGTTGTTTGAATGGTGCTGGCTGAAATTAGAGCTGCTGACCTCTCACCAAATGCCATGGTTCAGCATCTGAGCAGAATAGTGGATAATATTGCAACTGGAACTGAAGATGGACACTGTGACAACATAAATCTTTCCATCTCACTTTAATAGACATAGCTGGCTCTGGAAATGGAATTATAGAACTAGCTTATTGAAGGATTTTCCCTGCAAGTGATTACACAGGGATTACTTTCAAATGTGATGTACATATGACAGATAAAAAGAAAAACTCTGCTCCTAATATGAGTGTGCTAACTATAAAATGTCAGTCTACAGGCAAAATCAAAACACTAGAAACTGAATTAGTAAACAGGCAGCATTGCCTTCCTTTCTATAATCTTTATTTGCTGCCAGTGTGTTGTCTTAAAAATAGATACGTGCTACCCAGGGATTCCCAAAGTGGTTGAGGGCAGAATACAGCCAAGGAAATACTTTCAATAGATGAAGTGTCTGCTGTAGATACCTTCTGTCTGCTGTTAGGTTATGTCAACAGATTGGTGAGGCACTAGTCAAAAGTGAAATATGAAAGCCACAGAAAAGCTGGGAGGACCTCTGACTATTCTCTACTTTGTGTAATAAATAAAAAAATGTCCAACTAAGGCTCTGGGGACAGATCAAATTAAATACTTAAAATCTAATAAGTTAGGCACAGCAAAACTAATTTTCAGCCATGTACTTTGTTCTTAGGGTAGCATCTAGAACCTCAGAGGGTTTTAGAGTCCTTCTTAGCATGAACTCTGCTATAGCTGAGTTGGTGAGCTTGGACCCTTTTAAAGTGTTATTAGACATGTGCTGAGCTGGCAAATAGGGAAATGCTCAGAATAGGGGTTATGCCTGCAATCCTTCTGGGAGGTCTTTCAGTGGGTGAGGTAGGTATCTCCTGCCACTCCTCGCAGCTTCGCTTATCATCAAAAACTGAGAGGGACTTGCTCTTTCTTTTGAAATCTCAATGAAAAGACAAAGCAGATGTGAGGATTGCATTCTTTCCTCTATGAAAGTGAGGACATGGCTGTGTCCCAGTGGTTGGGCACTCACCGGGACAGAAAAAGCAACTCTGGTCTTAACACAAGAGAAGAACAACCCAGGCAACAGGAGCCCCTGTTGCAGCAAATTCATCTGCAGTCGTCCCCCTTGCTCGCTGTGCACACGAACCCTGAGTCCTCTCACACAAAATGATGCAGCTCTGACAGGTCGGGGTCAGTGAACTTTCAGACTGGCCCTCAGCCTGGTGGTAAGGGCACCCTTCTGGGAGATGTGAGTGTGAATCTTCTCATGGAAGGGAATTAAGCCAGAAGTTAGAAAGTATATAGCATGGTAGCTATCACTGCATTTTGTGGGATGTCTAATTTTGCAGATGCATATCAGGCAAAATATGTAAGTAGTGGACTGCTTGTTTTCCAGACCACAGTTTGGCCTACAGAGGAGCTAGATATTGTGCTGGGCCTGACTAGGGCCTTCACGACCTTAAAAGCTAGAGCACAAGTAGAGTGGAGCTCAGTGGAGATTTTCAGGACTGTCTAAATCCTATAATGGATCAGGCCCTCGCGAGTCCTATCTTCATTAACAGGGTCTCATCAGAAATAGCTTTCTCAGCAGAAAGTATGCCCTTCTGGTACCTCTCAGAAACTCCTCCTCCCTTATCTCTTTGGAGAACACACCTATATGCACCCATTTAAGGTTTGCCAGTGTGCCTGAAAAACACCAAAATTTGGTCTGTTTCAGAATAAGGGCCTTTAGGATTTTTTGAGCGTGAGCCCTCACAGAGCGTACCTTCATGCCATTGCCTCTATGAGGTGGAAGTATGGTTAATGGAATTGGGGCACTATGAATATGCTAACCCTGTGATTGAAATACGCTAACTCTGTGTTTAACTTAGAGTAACCTTAGCCGCTTGAGCAACAGCAAGTAGATAACACGCCTGAATCTGCCGCCTGGATCTGGATTTGAAGGTCACAGAGTAAGCAGAATGAAACAACAGATAGCTCATGAACTGAGTGACCAGACCAATCGGGCTGATGGAAGATGCGCGTGGACAAGGGGACCTAACCAATCTAAGCACTGGAAGTGGCGCGTGATAGCTCGGGGGGAAATAAAAGATCACTAGGGGGAAAGCTTCAGGGCTGCTGTGCAGACGCTATAATAAAGAGCGTTAATTCATATTGAATGCCTCTGACCTTCCTTCTACTCTGGGGAGGCGTCACTGAATTTCTGACTGCACCTCTAGGTCCCTCCCATCCACACCCTCATTTCTTGTTTTACACAAAGAACCAAACTCAGACAAGCTATCTGCACTAAAATATAGAGAGAAGTAAATCCTCAGATAGGCAGGTTTATAGCTCGTTGTACCCAAAGTCAGGGACACGCAGACTGTGGACTGCAGCACTTGGGTAAGTGATCAGCTTAATTCTACTAAACACTGAAATCCACATGTTCCATTGTTCAAGTTTGACAAAGGTAATGGGCAGTGAGAAATGTTAAAGATTGGTAGATTTGGACTGATACAAAAAAGCCTGTGAACTACAGCCATAAACTATACCCAGACAGGTGGACAGCCCATGTAGCTCTCAAGCACTAATGTCATGTTCCCAGCAGCATGCTCTGAATCAGCATATTAAATGTCAGTGTGCTTTGTGGGAATTTTCACTGCTTCTTTCTGCTTGCATAGCAAAATCTTTCCTTTCTGTGGTAATCCATACTCCCAAAATAACAAAGAACATCTGGTGAGTACGGCCTTGCTAGCAAAACAGAAACTCAGCTTTTTCATCAGGCAAGCAAACTAATTTCTGGCAAAGATGGCCAACCTAATCATAGCAGAATGTCTATGCATTCTCCTTATCCAAATCAAAATTTTGCAAATGTTAATTCTTGGTAAGAATAGGCCCAGACTGAAAGGCAATAAGTAACTTCTAGGGTTCAGAAACAATGTGTGATGGTATCTATGTTAGCACTCACCTTGTTTGCATAAGAACTAGAGATTGCTCTAGGAAAGGTCATTCAGTGTAAAAGGCTGCTGAGTCTTCCAACCAATTTTTTTAGGAGAGATGGAATCAGGTATTTTAGTGATAGTCTGTAGCTCATTAGGGAAAGCTGAGTCTGCAGCTAGTCCCTAACTGCAACACACTATTTTCTTGTAGCACAGTGGCTTTTGTGTAATTACAAATTATAAATGAAAAAGCAAACATATTTTCCCCTTGCTTTCACTTTTAATGCTTCCTTTAATGCAATCTTTTAATGCCTTTCATTGCACAATGAAATTATACAAGATTTCCCTTTAAAAAAGTGTTATGAAAATATGGCTCACTTGCTCTCCTGCTATAGAGGTCTGACAGTTCAGTCTTGCAGTATTGCAAGTGTGTTCTTTGGTTCAGCTGTAAGACATTTCTTCCTATCTGGATGGTCATCGCAGCAAGACTTCTTTACTTAGCTGAATGCTTTTTGACTATCTCAAGGTCATCAGGAGACCCCAAGACAACAGACACACTTTGGTGGATATCCTCAGGCACAATATCTAGTACTGCTTGATGCCCTGTTGTTGCTATTCCCCCAGCCTTCTCAATAACAAAAGCCATAGGATTGTATTTGTAGAGCAGTCTCAGCTAAAAGACAAAAATCAAAACGGCAATGGTCAGTCTAGGTAATGCTGTGAATCATGAAATATAAATATATTTGGCACTTGATTATAGTATTAAAAACTATACTGACTAAAACCAGTCAATACACTAAATACTTCACGTTTAATGCAAACTTTTGATTCAAGAATGAAATTGCATGGATTTTTCTTTAAAAAAAAAAACAAAGTGAACGCTGGAGTTGTCCAATTTGAGTACTTTCTCCATAGTTCATGTTTGCATTGTGCTCTTAGAGGGACAAAGCTCATATGCAAGACACAACCTTTAACAAAGCAGTAGGCCATGCAGGCCTGTGTGGAAGGAAAGAAAAACATTGGCCCTGAGTGTGCCATTACTTTTCTCTAATGAATAACTGCATCTTATCTGCAACCTGAAGCAATAATTTATGGACAATTGCAAAACAAATGAAAGATCTTTGCTGAATAAACAGTCTCCTTGTCAGCCTATATGGCTGTGATTTTCTCTACGTGACTGCGGTCCTGCAGAGGTAGCCAGGCATAGTTCCTCCAGATGCAGTAGTGTTACCAAGTAGAAGATGCAGATGTGTTTCTGTTTGGCAGAGCTTTTCATAAAGAGCATACTACATCTTGGTTTCTGCTATACTGGCTTACAATAGGAATCTCAGCCTAATGCAGGTTGTTTACTATGCTTTATAGTGTGTCATGTGGTTGGGGACAATATGATTTGGGCTGGGATGGTACGGAGAAGCCTGTTATTGTTCAAAGTAAGATCAGTGCCCCTCAGCACCCAGCTTGTGTTACCACTGAGCATCCGATCCATTGCCACCCCCACACAGCTCTCCATCTACAGAGATTGACTCCGGCTGCAGTGAGGAAGTAGCAATCTACCACACATGTAGATGCAATTTCTTTATTGTCAGACCAGAGTTCTCCTCTCTACTTGACCACACAAACTGCCTGGTTTGGCCTCCAGCCCCCTTATTTATGCCCAGCCAGGAAGGAAGACAAAAAATAATAATAAAAAAAAAAAGAGGTGTAGTGCAATACTGAAGGATGGTAAAATGTCTGGTCATGTCAACTGCTATTCTAACTAGTAGCATAGTAGCACAATCTTCCGAATCCTCTTTCTGTCTTAAACTTGGTATCTGAAATTAAAGTCCTACATACACTCTAAATAGGTAAGAAAAAGGAAAACAAGCTCTGGAACAGTACCTCATACATGAGACAGTGATTGATTGTAAAGTTGGAAGTTACAAGCGTTACTTGTCATCAAAAAGTTTCTCTGAAACAGGATCTTTTACCTCAGGGAATTTCTTCTTTTTGAGATAGTCTGTGACTACAGGATCAAAATATTTAAAATAGCCCTCATTGAGACTGTAGATGTTTCCCTTCTTTTTGATTTTCCCATCTCTATCGACCAAAATGAATTCTCCGATTGCCTAGTAAGAAAGCAAATCAATGTTAACTTTAATTGTGCATTTATTTACAAGACAAGGGAAAACCAATCCTATGTACAATTTAGTAGAAATTTACTACAGTTGCCACTTTCTTTAAATAAATGCAACCTTTGAGTAAGGCACCCATGAAAAAGTGGATATTTTCAGTCTAGATTGGAAGTGATGAGCACACAGAGCATGAATCCTGGGGTCATGGAAGCTTCTTCATAGTACCATTCCAATTTCCATATAATTTTTCTATGCCAAAAGATGCAGTTGGCTATATAGTTCTCTACTCCCTTGCTAAAAGAATAATAAAAGTACAGGTCTGAGTAGTTCAGTAATTAAGACTGTCAGTTGAAGCATCAGTTTGAACATCTCCAAATAGCTGTAGATATTAATAAATTCCAGTTCCTCTTAGCTTAGGCTAACTGGCAGCCAGAAATGTGGAGTCAAGAGGACTATTCCCTGTAACCAAGGGCTGGGCTATTTAGCCTTCACTGCAGTAAATTTTTACATTAGTGTTAAAACAAACAAACATGCGCACACACTCAAATCTATGTTCTGAATATAGATAAAATACATGCAGTTACTTAAGCTATTAAAAGAGAACACCAAGTTCTATTTCCTGCTATATGATCATGACAGGTTCCAAAAATTCAATACAGGCGAGTGGCACACCCTGATTAACTGACTACATTAAAGTGGGTCACTATAGCAAACCACTTTGTGTTATGGTAAATATGCCTTTTATTTTAAAACTCCTACAGCCAATGCATTCTAGAATGTCAAACACATCCACATGCTTTACTTACTTACTCTTTTACACATCATGATGAGATCTGAAGACATAAAAGAAGGTTAAATATTTCTGCTTCTCTAGTTTACTTCAATATTAAGGTGCTAGCATTAAGGGAAATCAGACAGACAAGTCTTAAGGGGCATTCTGCATTGCAGAAAACAGCTTATTTTAAATATCACATTATTTGACACACACTGTATATTTGCTTCACTGACTTGGCTGTCTTCACTTTGTCGAATCACACGTAACACCCACTGTAGCAGGCAGGAAGAATGCAAAAACTGCTTGATGTTACTTTTGATAGGCATTAAACGTACTTCATTTCTCCATGTTAGCTTTGATTTGAAAATTGCTCCTTTGGTTGACTCTTTTGGGACAAATTGTTCTTATAGACAGTGTCTTGATAAACCCCCCCTCCCAAAAAAAAAAAAATTCTTACTGGATCAAGCATAAAACAGTTGACACCTCCAGCAGAAGTAGCCAGTACTAGCATTGTGGCACTCCTATAGAGAGCACAACCAGCTGCCACGAGATTATGTCCAGGTTGTAAAGCATCTTTCCCAGAAGGTTCATCGGGGACACCTATGTTGGAGGTATGGGAAAAAGAGATTAGGGCATTATTCAGTCTTTTACAGGTAGTTAACAAAACAAGGCCCTGAAGGAAGGAGCAAGACAACACTATAAGACAACCAGATAAGGAAGTACCCAAATAAGCCCAACAAAAACATCTGATAAACCAAAACATCTGATAAACCAAAGAGAACTACTTGAACTACGGGTGAACTACCCTAATTATTACAGTAAAAAACCCACCCACGAGCAGGAAAGCCCCCTACCCACCAAAGCCCCTTCCCCATAGGGCATGCATAGTAGAGAAAGAGGATATTGTGACTTTAAAGAACACGAGACCTAGCAGGAACCAATGGGAACGAGGGTGACAATGCAGTTGTAAAAGGTACTGATAACTGTTGCTCAAACTGTATGAAGCTGTGCAGTAACCAGGGTGTGCTAGCTTTGTGGAAGTACCACCTAGCACCCATCTCTGCGCAGATATGAATTAAACAAATATCTCGACTCTGTGTGTTTTTCAGCTCATTGCACACCGGGTGAAAGAACCCTTCTTTGGGACAACACCTAGGATAGAAAGGATCATAGTCAATTTTACTTCTTTTTTACAGTTAGTATATAACTGGGCTCTCTTTGAGATAGGGATGGTCTTCTACTCCGCATCCATGCAACAGCTGGCACAAACACTTCCATGCTCCACAACCAGGATTCCTACAGAATGTGCTAACACAAATTATACGGAGGAGACAAATACATTGATCTGGACATTTTCTTATATAAGCCCAGCTGGAATGCAGGAAGCAGGAAAGGAGTCAGGAGATAATGCAGAGCTATGTACCTCCTTGTAGGTGATAATGAACACAACTCAAAGCAAAACACTGAGGCAGAGTTGAAAAGCAAACAATGAAACATGACTCATGGAGTTTACAGCTGATGAAAAGTACCTAGGATTTTTTTGTTTTCTTTTGCTTCATGTAAAAACGAAGTTACTTTGAGGTGCATCACAACATACAAAAGATGATTAAAATGGATAGTTGGGTGTGTTTTATCTGACATACTTTTTTCCCCATCTTTTGACATGTAAATCCTGTATTTCAAGCTCCTTCAGACAAGGTTTTTGCCTTTTAGAGTGAATTAGATACTTCAAATGCACATGCCATGTTTCAGCTCTGGTCTATATTTGAAGCCTATCCTCAGGCTGAAAGGACTATTAATACAGAGGAACAAGAAAACCAGAAAGCACATTCCCCAAGTAAATGACAATCATGTGGTATTTTGTCTCAACATAATTATTCATGAAATCTAAGACCTGTTGTGTTTGTACGGAGAATTACCTTTAGCTGGCTAATTAAATATCAGCTAGGTTTGCACATACGCATAGGTTTCTTGCCTTCTAATAGAGTAATATTTATCCCTCACAAACGTTTTATACAAATGTCTGTGTAATAGGAGATCAAATTTAAAGTCAGTCATGAAAGCTTCCTTCAGAAATAAGTTTAGTTGGATTTTATTAAATTTTCATATGCAATTCTATTTCATCAAGAGCTGCATAAGTATGAAAAATGATAGTCTTTCCTGTCCTACATGGAAGTGTTTTACCTTTCTGTAGATGCCAAAGATGGTCTCAATGAAAACAAGGCAGTCAATGTTAGATGAGCCATCTAGAGGGTCTATGCAGACTATGTATTTACCCTGGAAAATACAAAATAGGAAACAACTGGATTAGTGATATTATTTACCTACCTACACCAAATAAAAATATTTCAGTTGTTAAAGCTTCTCAGACAAATTCAATTCAATATAAACTAAGAGACTATTATCGATTGTGAGGAAACTGAACTCTAATGTTTGAAATTTTTTGGCCAAGATTTCATCCCTATTTACAACTGCATGAATTTCTGTCACAGCAGAAGCTGGGAAATCTTTAGCTAAAGTTATAGGTGATGACATAGGAAAGCTGAAGTTTTGCTATATCATTTTTAAAAAAGAATCTTTAATTATTAGTTTACCTTCATATATTTAATTAATGTTGAGCCATTTTGATAGATATCCTACAACATCTACCATTTAAGCTACTTTTTCTCATCTCTAATAAAACTGCCTTCTGAATTACAAGGAAAAAGACAAATTATGGAGATCAGTCTTTTTTTTTTAGACCTAAAATTAATGATATTACAAAGCAGCCTTAACACCTAACATTCCTACACTATACGTTTCACTTTACTGCATGTTCCACTTTAAACACTTTAATGAAAGCCTGTGCTCAGAAATGAACAAGTGCTCAGAAATTATCTTTGCCAGTTTGTGGTCTTACAATAATTTTTCCTGGTTTTTTGTTTGTTTGTTTTTTTCAAAATGAATGGTCCCTGCCTACTGCTATATTAAGGATTCCTACAGATACAGGAAATTGCCAATACAGGGAAAATAACTGAACCAACTGTACCTTTCAAATAGCCTGTTTTCCCCTTCACCACTGACAAATTGTTATTTTATCCACAACCATTTTCGTAATTACATGTAACAATAGTAAGTGTTTGTTTATTTGCTTTTTATCCTGTATGCCAGAAACTTATTCAAGCCCAGCAACACTTTATACTGCTATCATATGGGTGGGTGTTCTGACAAAACCACCATATTAGCTCACATTTAGTATAAAAAAAAGCCTCAATGATCTTTGAGGCTTTAAAATCAGCTTTGTTCAGATCTAAAACAATCAAGAATTCATTATTTTATCCACAAAGAACAGCTATTCAATGTTCTACTGACAAAACTACTCAAAACTTTACAGAAGAGCTTAATTGACTCAGGGCATAGGGGAAAAAATAGTGTGGAGAGGAATTCTAGAGAAATTTTTTTTTAAAAGTCAATAAAGCAGTCTGGGGAGCAGAAATAATAGAAAGGACAACTGCTGAGAGAGAGGAGCATACAAGAAAATATTCGTATTTGCCAATACACAGAAAAGTACAGGTTCTCTCTGAAATCTTGAGCTCAGTTTTCATTTCTTACATTTGAAGAGATAAATCTGTAAAGGCTGATTTTGAAATCAAGTCCTGAGAAATTTTTAAAGTTACTAACCCTTTTTCCAGCTTCTACTATTATAGCATCTTTGTTTTCTTCTGACACAATAACACATATGCTGAAGGATGACTTGAGCATATTAATCACCAGATCATTGGAGAGGATATCTATCTAGCTTCTTGGTCTCCTGTCACATTGGTAGAACCAGCAATTCCATAGCTAAAGCAATGAAAAGAGGGAGTATTTTGTAAAAACGGGGTGCTATACCTCCCAAAGTTCTTCACTTCTGGCAAGCTTAGGCTTGTAAAACATCTTGTAAAACAAACAGCTCTTGAGTGATATCTCAGTTCTTTAAGCCTCCTTTTATTTACCAACTGATGGATTCTTGCTGAGACCTGCTAACAACAGCTGTGGTAGCAAGACTGGAATACACTGAATATGAGGAACACAAGAAAAGGAATCACATTTAAATAGTCCCTAAACTATAGGCAAACGTAGCCAGAGCAGGCTATGAAGACTGAATTATAACCATGCTATTAAATTAGCTGTTAACTATAACACCCAAATATTGCCTCTAGAACCTAGGCTGTCATAGCATAGCTGCTTACCCTAAAAGCTAAGACCTCACTAGAAAGTTTATACTTAAAAAGTAACAATGAATCTGACTATATTAGTTACACTATAACTTTTCTATGTAATTTGCTCTTGGTTAGCAATAGGCTCTACAAATATCAGTGCAAACACTTTGTTCAGAGGTTAAATCAACATTTTTATGGTATAATCTTTTAGTTTTAGTTTTAAGTTGTAACTGTTTCTTTGAGAATGAGACAGAGAAATACAAATACCAAACAGAAATAAAATCAGCTATCTGTTTTCCTGCTGGCTAGTCAGAATCAAACATTCAGCATGAGGAAGTACTAGGAGAACTTGTGATAGGTGATTTTGAAAACATACAAAACAGAGATAAAGGAAGTTTGGGTTATGGATTATGTCATAAAGGAGAAAAGCCATACTTAGCTCTACACAGACACACAGATGGCTCTTCCGTACTTAAGTTTACCTGCAATACATTGGTTAAATTGAATACTGATATTTCTTTTTTTTTTTTTTAATACAGCTGACCATGCTACTTTAGGAATGTACTGCATTTCTTCAATTTAATGCATGAGAAAAAGTGAAAGACCCAGCAAAATTCTCTCTCTGTCTCTGCTATGGCAGCTTGAGCATTTTTCTGCAATGTTTTAGAAAACATTAGATTTTAAATGTCACACTTTGGAGCCGGGGGGGCTCTCATCCTGAGAGCAAAACCTTCACATGGCCAAATCTGGGTGCCCAGCCCCTGGGGAGCGCAGTGCGCGGAGCCTGCAGTGGAAAGGGGCGGTAGCTGCGGTGGTGGTGCCAGGTCCTCATCGCCTTCACATCTGGGCTGGGGGGCAACCCCAAGAAATGGGCTCAGCAATCCCTGCGGGTCCACGCTCTCCGATGGCTAGGGTGTGTGTTACCCAGCAGTGCCCACAACACTGAAATCTCACCATTGGTCTGAAAATGCAGTCCCATCGAGCCTGCAGTGGAAAGGGGCGGTAGCTGCGGTGGTGGTGCCAGGTCCTCATCGCCTTCACATCTGGGCTGGGGGGCAACCCCAAGAAATGGGCTCAGCAATCCCTGCGGGTCCACGCTCTCCGATGGCTAGGGTGTGTGTTACCCAGCAGTGCCCACAACACTGAAATCTCACCATTGGTCTGAAAATGCAGTCCCATCGCAGGAGCTGTACTTGAACTGCTCGAGGAGGCTCGCAAGTCCGAAGCTGGCTGTCCCAGCACCGGTGCAGAGAAAAATCCACCTTTGAGGGTAGTGAGACCAGGATACCAGTACAGATATCGGACCTGTGGGCACCTCAGTAAAGCCACAGAAACACAGATGGGAGGCACAAGGAATGGAGCCAAGGAAGGTTACAAATCGGTGGTAGAAGGAAATCCTACTCTTTGCTGTCGGGACTATAGCATAAAAGGCACAAGGGGCTAGCACGTAGCGACTGTAAAATTGTCCCAAGCAAATCTGATGAGATTTGAAGTCAAGACAGTGAAAGATACTTTAAATATATATAAAGTGAGACATTTTCATTTGCTTTTGCAGTTGCTTCTGTTTTGCAGACTTCAGTCACCAAATCTTTCAGCTCTCTGATACTAAGGATACATTTTTGTAATAAGTGTTACTCCATATTGCTGGAGGCATTTTGCTTAATGTATTTTCCACTACGTGGTCTGTAGAAGCAAATTCATTTTCTTTCTATTACATTTTTCATTAAGTAATGAAGCAGCTCACGTCTAAAGCCCTGGTCAGCATACTATGTGGCTTATCAACAATATGTAAAATACTTGGGGGAATCAGTTGCCCTAGACTGGTTTTGGTTATTTAACATTTCAAGAGCTCTAATTTCCTTTTGAAATCTTCTGAAATCCTTTCCTCTAATTTTCCTTCCTCCAGAGCAATCCCCCTCGGTATCAGCTCTGCCTGACTGACTACAGACACTGCTGGTCCTTGCAGAGACTATTTCTAAAAGCCTGAGACTTCCAGGGTGTCACAGAAAAACTCAAGTTGCTAGGACACAATATGACAAAAGAAAAAGAAAAGAAGCACTAAATTTGATTAAACTCCTTATAGCATGAAAATGGTGCTTTGATATTAAGTTCTTGCCTACAACGAATAATAGTTCAGCCCTATTTTGTCAGGCTTTAACTTTTAGTCTGTTTGGTCTTCCGGTCCAAAGCATCGAGACCTGCTGTAGGTTTGCACAAATATCTACCAGCAGCAGACACCTGCGAAAGATGGCATGCCTTTATGTATTTAAAAAGTGACATAATCCATTTCTGCTGGGGAAAAGCCAGAGTCTGGGATGCTACCGGAGTTAGTTCAGGGGGGAAAGGAGGAGGGAAGAGTCATAACATGAGATAAATGAGAGTTTTTTTAACTTCTAATGACCATGTGAAGTGCCCTCGCCCTGCTACGAGGCCGGGGGGCCGGGTCGGGTGTCACTCACAGGTTGGCGATGCCGGCCTTGCGCACGGCGCTGGAGATGGCCTTGACGGCGGTGCAGAGGGAGTTGAGGAGCTGGGTGAACTCGCCGGTGCCCCTGGCGCGCCGCCCTTCCTCCATCACGAGGCGGGTCATGGAAATCACGTCGGTGTCGAAGGCGGAGCGGTCC